TGTTTCCCTAAATCAAAGATATGGCCTTCCCAAGCATGAATGTCATGTAAAGCTCTAAAATTGATGCTTGTATAACAACAACAAGGCATCAAAAAGTGATTTAGTCCCAAAAATGGCAACCTAAGTCCAATAACTCCAAACTAATCCATAAAGCTCCAAGGGTTAAGGTCTCTGGGCCTCTTTGAGTCCAGATCCAAGGCACAAACTCGAAGAGGGACCATTTGCTCCACATAATCACTCTCCAAAGGGGTTAGAAAACCCTAACTCCATAGATCAACACCAAAACTGAAGGAGGTTCGAATTGTTACCTCAAAATGAAGTCTCTAAATCCCTGGAACTGCTAAAATCGCACCTCCCCTCTTGCTCTTGCACTTCCTTCTTGCTAAACCAAAGATACAAGGATCAAAAGTGTCTTCTTCTCCCTTACAACAATTTGGCTCTCTAAGGGTTCTCTCAAGGGACTGGTAGCCGCAATGAGAGGCTATAAGTGCCCTTATATAGGCTCCAAACCCGGGGATTTAGGGTTTCATTAAACAATGTGGACTCGCCGAGTCCATTCATGGACTCACCGAGTCCAAAGCAAATCTGGATGAATAGTCGCAACCCTACTCGGCGAGTCTACGCATCAACTCGCCGAGTTCCTTCCCATAATTCAAAATAATTAAATAAAATAATATATACCTGGAAACCCGACTGTTACATTACAGGTGACTAAAATTGTATATTTTCAGTTTGATGGGCCAAAAAAATGCCTTTATTACAAAAATTAGATATTTGGTTATTTTATAAGCCTCGAACAAAAACAAAACAACGAAATAATAACAAATGGACGATATACTTCGATAACATGTTGTTGGGCCTGATATTCTCGTTACATGGCTAATGGGCCCTAGGGGCTCATTTAAATGTATATTGTGCCTAATATTTTCCATGACATGTTTAATGGGCTTTGCGACCCATTTACACGTTCATTTGGGCCTGGACTATGGATCACATGTTTATTGGGCCTTAGTGGCTCATTTACATGCCTACTGGGCCTAAATTACCCTTTTACATGTTTAATGGACCTTCGTGGCCCATTTAAATGCTAATTGGACTTGGACTGAAAATCACATGTTGAGTGTAGGATCATATCATGTAGTTATTATCAGAGTCTCCTGGAGGGAGAGCAAGAGTTTATGTATAGATCTATACGGGGTGACCCCCCAAGCCTTAGCTGTTCGCTATAGCTAGACTAGGTCAGTCTAGGGCGATAAACCTTACTTACATCAAAACCGGCGTCTGAAAACGCCAAGATAGGCGAATTAGTCATTATCAATCATGGTTGTAACGACTCACTTAGAGACTAACTCCATCAAAGATTTCGGTATATTTATACCGATCTTGACGATACTAAAAGCATACATACATCAATACTCGGTCTTGGGATTTTATGATTACGACACTTCTAATAGCAGAAAATATCGGATTTTCTGGGTTGAATACATTATACATTACTTTCTACTTACAACAGAAAATATAGGATTTTATGGGTTCCATTTCATACACATTTTAAAAACAGAAAAACACACATGCAATAATACTCAAATCGACACATCATTTACAAAAATGGTTTTTTACAGAATATATCAAATTTTCTGGTGGTGTACATATCATACTTTTTGTTAAAAATGCTTATGAACTCACCAACATTATATATGTTGACCATTTTCAAAATAACTTGTATTCTCAGGTAATCGTTAAGCAGGGAATCTTCAAGTGTGGATTATTTTCGTGTAATGTCAAACATCATACAATTATTATTTTGGGATATGTAATCTAAGACAAAATACTTGATGTGAACAATATCAGTTGTATTATGTAATGTTTGGTGATGATTGTGTTATGTTAATGTATATTCATTGTTATGATATTTCAATTTATAGTCACATGAGCCCTCGGACGTTTCTGCCGTTTGGTTCGGAGGTGTGACAATAATAAAGAATCCACAAGATACAACAACCCATGTCTTCTGAAAGATTAAAAAATACATATAATATTACACTTAAATAAAAGCACAAAAGAATAAAAGAAAACAATGTAAGAATGATTATCATCAAATTACCTCAAAAGAAAGAAGGAGGCAAAATGACGGAAAAGGAGCAATTTCATGCTTGAACCGAGCCTAGATATAGAATGGAACCTGTAAAATCGTAAAAAAGAAGAACTACAAATGAAAAAAAATCAAAAAGAAAGTCGGATCCATATATGTTAAGATAATCTTTAAGTCATAGAAAGCAACCATATTTGGGTTTCATATACTTAGTTGTTGATATATAGGAACTTAGGGTTTTCTAATCAAATAGTCGATATCTGTATAGAAGAATGAACCAAAGTTGGAATTGAGTTTCGGTATAGAAGTCGATGACAAGTAGTTGTTATGAGAGGGGGAAACGAAGATGTCAGCTGACCTGGATGACAGCCATGAGGGATCAAAAGGGAAATCTGGTGTCCTTTAATCTCATTATGAGTGCCTCAATTAAGTGTCAATAGAAGAGGAGTCACAATCAAGACAATCAATTCAACAGGATGAAATTAGAACAATCCAAACAAAGTCTGCGACTCGGTAGGTAGACATTTCAGATGGCCTGACCAGAGGCGACGTCAGCTGACTGGAAAGATGTAAACATGGAGCGATTCTTAAACGTTTTTTAGATATTCGAGGCATGGGAAGGAGAAATCAAGAACCGATGAATATATTATCAAATAAAATATTACCTTAATCCACTTTCAAATAAGTGTATGACGGTGTATTGAAACATACCTACATAATAACTGCACGTTTGAAGGAAGCTCCACATGTGACCATCAATGATTCAACTATTTGAAAAGGAAAAGGAAAATTTAGGCGGTGTGAACCAAAGGCCTCAGTGTGAGGTCACGATGACCGGGTAAGAAAGTTGGAAAGGAGCTTACCACAGTATACAATACAAATCGCCGCCCACTTCTTATTGGAGGATGGAAGAGGTTATCGATGTAGATCTTAGTTGAACTCGTTAACATATAGGTAATGGTAATGATATATATATATATATATATATATATATATATATATATATATATATATATATATATATATATATATATATATATATATATATATATATATATCCATTTCCAATTTTCTTTTTGTTAGCTTTACTTAAATATTATAAATTGATAGCATTATTATTTTCATGTCAACCAGTATTTTAGAATTTTAGATTTCTAGAATCCAACATATCTAATCATAATGATGACATTATTGAAATATTGACATATCGTGTGACCATCATGTTACATTTTAATATTTGTTTAGCATGATGATAATATACCGTATCTTATATATATATATATATATATATATATATATATATATATATATATATATATATATATATATATATATATATATATATATATATATATATATATATATATATATAGAGGTGACGTTCAATACAGAACAATAATTAACCAAGGAACCAATCGTGAGCATCGAAAATCATAACGATCAACGGCCAAGGAAATAGATGTACACTTTTACATTGGAGGCACACACACCGGATTATACCAAAAAATCAATCATTTACATAAAAAATCCACCACTTTTTTTCGTTTAAAATTTTTTTAGGCCATGTTTTTTATAAAAAAAAAAAAAACGAATATACCGTTGTTCACGATTTTTCGTCCTCTTTCCATAGAAATCAATTGTGATATATATATATATATATATATATATATATATATATATATATATATATATATATATATATATATATATATATAAAACGAACTTTTTTTTTCGAAAAAAAAACGACTTCATTTTTTTTAATGAAAAAAGTTAAGGTTTATTTTTTATAGAAAAAAATTAATAAATATATCAAAATTCATATTTTTGTACTTTTTAAACATAGATTCATATTCATGTTAAAAAAAACAACAATATTTCAGTTCAGATTCACATTGTGAACTTGTTCAGATTCATATTGTAAACATGTTCAGATTCACATTGTTAACCTCCTCAGATTCACAGTGTGTATAATAATAAATCAGATTCACAATGTGAATCTGAACTGATCGGATCTTTTTCACATTGTGAATGTTAAAATTTGAAATACTTACAGTTTAGATTCACAATATGAATCTACACTGATCGAGGGTTTTTTTTTTTTTTTTTTTTTTTTTTTTTGTGTAAACCTTCTCAGATTAAGAGTGTGCATAATAGTAATTCAGATTCACAATGCGAATCTGAACTGTTTGAGATTTTTCATGTTGTAAATGTTAAAAATTAAAATATTTACAGTTTAGATTCACAGTGTGAATCTACACTGTTCGAATTTTTTTTTAATCGGTGTTGATGTTTATTAATAGAGTACAAAAAACTAATATTTTTGGCATAATTAGTTTTTTTTTTTATAAAAAAACTTAAATATTGAAAAAAAAAGAAACTAAGTGGGTTTTTTTCGAAAAAAAAAATTCGTTTTTTATATATCATAATGGATCTCTATGGAAAGATGACGAAAAATCGTGAACAATGGTATATTTAGATTTTTTTTCGATAAAAACGTTGGCCTAAAAAATATTTTAAATGAAAAAAGGAAGTGGGTTTTGTTATAATCCTGTACATGTGCGTCAATATTAAAAATTGACAACCATTCCTTTTGCTGTTTATCGCTTTAAATTACGACGCTTTAGATAGGTTCTTTGGTCCTTGAATAATAATGGTTCTCTATTTAAATTCCGACGCTTCGGATAGGTTCCTTGGTTCCATGAATAATAATGGTTCTCTATTGAACTTTTCCATATATATATATATATATATATATATATATATATATATATATATATATATATATATAAAAGATGTGTACCCCACATATTGAAGTATACTGCTATTTAATTATATTAAGTAAGATTTGCGAGGAAAATGATAAACACCCTCAGTTTATATATATGGCTTTGTAAATAAGAAGTTTTCAATGGAGACAATCCAACCAAGTGTTCCCAAGTACTTGCAAAATTTTGAAGTGTCCAAAGAGTGCAATGATCTGATTTCCTCCTTGCCCAAAGATAGAGGATGGGCTGTACCCATCATGTACCAATACCAAGGTTTTTGGCATCATACTTGGCAGCTCCAAGGAGTTCTAGCATTTCAAAAACATTTTCTTGCACAAGACACTGATATTCTTCTCGTTACAGCTCCAAAATCTGGCACCACCTGGTTAAAGGCAATTTCTTTTGCTATCATAAACCGAATTCAATATCCTATCGCTTCCAAAGACCACCCTTTACTCAAAAACAATTCCCATGTAGTTGTGCCTTTTGTGGAACAGGTCTATGCTGATGATAACTCTAATCCCGACTTCTCTGAGACACCTCCTAGACTCTTTGCCACTCATGTGCCTTATGTTTCACTACCTGAATCCATCCACAATTCCAAGGTGAAGATCGTTTATATGTGCCGAAACCCAAAAGACTTATTTATTTCTGCTTTTCACTTTACAAACAAGTTGAGGCCCCAACATATGGGGACCAATTCCATGGAAGAGATGTTTGATTTGTTCTGTAAAGGAGTGTTCCTATATGGGCCCTATTGGGACCATGTGCTCGAATTTTGGAATGAGTCTCTAAAGAAGCTTAAAAAAGTGTTGTTTTTGAAGTACAAGGAGATGAAAGAGCAGCCAACTACTCAAGTAAGAAAATTAGCAGAGTTTTATGGTTGTCCATTTACACTAGAGGAAGAGAAGGAGGGGATTGTGGATGCTATCTTAGGTTTGTGTAGCTTTGAAAGTTTGAGTAATATGGAGGTGAATAAAAAAGGATATTTGCCGACCGGTGAGATGAAGGAGGCGTACTTCCGGAAAGGTGAGGTCGGGGACTGGAAGAATCATTTGACAGTGGAGATGGCGGAAAAACTAGACATCATCATTGAATGCAAGTTTCAAGGATCAGGATTAAAATTTTAAAGAAATAAAATATGTGAATATAAACCTTGCTTAAATAGATTGTTAAGTTTTAATGTTTATTCTAAGTAGTTTGGTTAAACAACATGCTTTGGTGTTATATGAATAAAAAATGCATATATCTATACGATCTACAGATTTATAATATTCTCAAAGATATGTACAAAAACGCTTATATATTTGGTAATTGGAATAAATGTATACATTTGAAAAATACAACGACATTTTTTTGATCTTCAGAAAAACTTTGTATATATGGGGAAACCCATTAGAATTCGTCCAAGGCTTCTAAGTGATGGGTTTTATACAAACAATCCTATGTGTGCATGCAACCCTAATTTGGATCTATGTTTTGCTATTAGATACACAACATTATGAACACAAGAATAAAACCCTACAGAACAATGCTATTTTCGAAATTAATATACAAGGTTAGATTACATACCTCTTGTTGTTATATTGCAATAACAACTTAAATCTTCAAACCCTAAGTCTTGAAAGCAAGCACCACAAGTGTAGTGCCTCTAATGGCTCACAAACACTATAAGCAATTGGAGAGGCTATAGAGAGAGAAGGGAGGAGGTGGAAATCGTCCTTGGGACTTCTTAGAAGCGTGTACACGAATTCCCAAGGCCTAGGGGTCTTTATATAGGGTTTAGATTAGGGTTTCAGTCCTTATCCTTATCCAGTTACTTGCCCACCAAGCAACCACAAGATAAGCCTTGAAAACCCTTATCTCTTGGTCCTTGGACGATTTTAAGGATATCCTTGTCCTTGAATTCGTCCATCCTTTAACAAGGATAACCATTGCCCTATTTTGCAACTATCACATAATTACAATTTAGCCCCTCCAGTTTAATTAATTACACTTGATCACAAAATTAATTCCTAATTAACTATTGACCAATATTAATTAAACAAATATGATTTCTCCTTTAATATATTATTCTTATAACATATTAATAAATCATAATAACCTCTTTCTCTATTTATTTCTCCAGTCAAGTTGCTTTGGTGAAGGCAACCCAAAAGGACCATGCACAATCGGGCCAAGTACTTGCCTAATATAGTTGCAGCCTTAGATACTATTCTAACTGTCTCCCACTTGGATAAGTCTAGTAACTATATGCACAAGTACAATTCGGTTTGCAATCGTAGCTCTCAAGGATGCTGTTAAGCTCTGATCTAATCAATCTTGTCATTTAGATAAGGGATCGTACAGTCCTCTGTTAGATATCATGCTGACAATTTTATGGAATAATTAGTCTAGCATTTGGTTTCTCGATCTCCGATTTATTTGACATAGAACTTAATCGAACATATCAATTCAGTTCTAACCGGGCCCGGCACATAAGTCAAATCAAATCATCGAGCGGCCGAGATATCACTTTTACCCTCTTAGGATAAAAGTTACAGATAAACTTCGACTTATATGCATTTACTTATTCATTAATCAACTATTCACAACAATGCGGTTTATAACACCGAGTTACTGATGCGTTTTCGCATTATCAATGTACAGTCAATTAACAAATAACAAACCATATATCTAGGTTTTAAGACTATATGATATTATCATCTTGCGATCACCTTTTATATCACATTCCATAAGGTGATTCCAGCAAGCGCGGGTTTGTTCCAATGCTCAAAACCAGTTCATAAGCACTCATGAACGTTGCAGCAATCTTTTGATATGTCTAATACCATTTAGACAATCTACACACCAATTCATGACAATCTTCATTCATATCTACTTCCTACATATGAACGATTGTGGACAGTTTGAATAATTCGATTATTCTTAATAAACTCAATTATTCTGGAAGTCAAAACATGCAAAGTGAAACAATAGTTAAACAATTAACATAAGACGTAACATTACTCATAAATAAAACTCCTTTATTTAATCATCAAATGTTAATTACATTTATCTATTACACGTTTCTACTACTATCTAATCTAAGCTAATATCATCCTTCAGCCCAATACTCCTAGCATGCTGCAAGTGCTTAACCCTACTCAGTCCCTTCATAAGCGGATCTGTTGGGTTATCTTCTGATGATATCCTCTTCACTACGAGTTTTCCTTCTTCTACACAATGTCTGATGAAGTGATATTTTCTATCGATATGTCGAGATCTACCATGATCCCTCGGTTCATTGGTTAAGACAACCGCTCCTTCATTATCACAAAAAATCTCTATGGGCTCCTTTATGGCAGGTACAACTCCAAGGTCACCGATGAAGTTCTTCAACCATATTTCCTCCTTCGACGCTTCGCTCGCTGCAATGTACTCTGATTCGCACGTTGAATCAGCTACGGTTTCCTGCTTGGAACTCTTCCAAGTTATTGCTCCTCCATTCAGGGTAAAGACCTAGCCCGACTGCGAACAGTAGTTGTCCCTGTCGGTTTGAAAGCTGACGTCACTATACCCTCGCACCTTCAAGTCATCACTCCCTCCGAGGACTAAAAACCATTCCTTCGTCCTCCGAAGGTACTTAAGGATATTCTTCACCGTAATCCAATGGGCTCTGCCAGGGTTCCCTTGATATCTACTAACCATGCTCAAAGCAAAGGCTACATTAGGGCAAGTACAAGTCATAGCGTACATGATTGAGCCAACTGCGGAAGCGTATGGAACTCGGCTCATTTCAGCTATCTCAGCTTTGGTACTCGGACTTTGAGTCTTACTCAACTTGGCATTACTTTGTATCGGTAATTATCCCTTCTTTGAGTTTTCCATACTAAAACGTTTTAGTACCTTCTCTAAGTAAGTGTTATGACTAAGTCCTATTAGTCTCTTACTTCTTTCTCTTACTATCCTTATTCCCAAAATATAGGAAGCCTCTCCGAGGTCCTTCATAGCGAAGCACTTCCCCAGCCAGGACTTAACTTCTTGCAGAGTCGGGACGTCATTTCCTATGAGTAATATGTCATCGACATATAGAACGAGGAAGCTTACTATACTCCCACTGGCTTTGACATATACACACGATTCATCTTCGCTTCGTACAAATCGAAACTCTTCGAATTTCTCATCGAAGCAAAGATTCCATTTGTGAGACGCTTGCTTAAGTCCATAAATGGACTTCTCAAGCTTACACACTCTATTCGGATGCTTCGGATCCACAAACCCCTCCGGCTGAGCCATGTAAACATCCTCAGCCAACTTCCTGTTAAGGAAAGCGGTCTTGACATCCATTTGCCAAATCTCATAATCATGAAATGCGGCAATAGATAGCATCACTCTAATAGACTTTATCTTCGCAACTGTTGAGAAGGTCTAATCATAGTCAACTCCGGGAGTTTGAGTAAAGCCCTTCGCAATAATCGCGCCTTATACGTGTGTACTTTTCCATCCACGTCAGTCTTCTTCTTGAAGATCCATTTGCACCCAACGGTCTTACGTCCGGGCACATTATCAACCAAATTCCAAACTTGGTTATCATACGTGGATTGGATCTCGCTATCCATTGCCTCTTTCCATTTTGCAGACTCCGGGCCTGCCATGACTTCCTTATAGCTATTAGGTTCATCAAGGTTTATTAGTGTACTATCACTAATATACGTGTACCCTTCGGTAGTAATATGAAAACCATACAACTGGGGTTGAACTCCAACTCTTTCGGAACGTCTAAGAGGTAATGATATGTCTATCGGTTCAACTGGAGTTTCCTCCTCGGGTTGAGCGCCAGCGGTAGAGGTTCCTTCATCTATCGACTCTTGAATCTCTTCAAGCTCGATTTTCCTCCCACTGTCTCCTTTGCCTATGAGTTCTCGCTCTCGTAAAACTCCTCTCTTCGCAACAAATACAACATTGTCCTTCGGTCTATAGAAGAGATATCAAAGGATTTCTGCGGGTAGCCGATGAAAATACATCGCTCACTACGAGGTTCGAGCTTGTCGTGAGTATCTCGTCTTACGAAAGCCTTGCAACCCCAAACCTTGATATGTGCTAACGAAGGAGCTTTCCTCATCCACATCTCCTGAGGTGTTTTGGCAACCTTCTTAGTAGGGACTCGGTTACAGATATGGGCGGCAGTCTCTAAGGCATACCCCCAAAAAGAGATAGATAGTGAAGCACGACTTATCATAGAGCGAACCATGTCCAACAAGGTTCGATTACGCCTTTCTACCACACCATTCACTGTGGTGTGCTAGGTGGCGTCAATTGTGAAACTATTCCACACTCCTTGAGATAATCGTGGAATTCAAGACTTAGGTACTCTCCTCCTCGATCGGATCGAAGCATCTTGATTTTCCTGCCCAATTGATTCTCCACTTCATTCTTGAACTCTTTGAACTTTTCAAATGTTTCTGACTTTTGCTTGATTAAATAGATATACCCATATCTACTATAGTCATCGGTAAAAGTCACGTAGAAGCGGTTTCCATCCTTCGTGGTAGATCTAAACGGTCCACACACATCGGTATGTATGAGGTCCAATAGACCCTCACCCCTTTCGCACGTACCAGCGAAGGGTGACTTAGTCATCTTTCCAAGTAAACAAGACTCGCATGTGTCATCTTCCCTAAGGTCGAATGACTCCAACACTCCATCCTTTTGGAGTTGGGCTATGCGTTTCTTGTTGACATGTCCAAGACGACAATGCCACAAGGATGCCTTATCCATACTATTGGAAGAATCCATGCATAAAACATCATTTCCTAAGTTATCAACAATCATAACAGTTTCATAAATTCCATTACAGTATTGCTTCAAAATAAAAGACACCATTTAGATAAGCCAAAATAGAACCATTCTCATTATTAAAAGAAAATCTAAAACCTTGTCTAAACAAACCATGAAATGAAATGATGTTTCTAGCCATTTCTGGCGAATAGCAACAATTGTTCAAATCTAAAGATAAACCATTCCTAAGCACTAAAGAATACACTCCAATCTTGGTCACAGGCGATGATCTTCTGTTCCCCATGATTAGATTTATTCTTCCATGCTCCACATCCCTATTTCTTCTTAGTCCCTGCACATTAGAACAAAT